TGGATGGATGGATGGTATATTTGACAGTTGTTAGAAAATGAATGGATAGATGGATGGTATATTTGACAGTTATTAGAAAATGAATGAATGGATGGATGAATGGATGGATGGATGGATGGATGGATGGATGGATGGATGGTATATTTGACAGTTGTTAGAAAATGAATGGATGGATGGATGGATGGTATATTTGACAGTTGTTAAACCTGTGTGTGTGTTATTTGTGAATAATTTACAGTTTCATTAAGGTTTTAAGAGTCAATGAACGTTTACTGCATGTCAGGTGTTCTTCTTATGCTGCACTTATATATTGGATCAGGTTCTCGCTCCAGTTCCAGGTTAGTTTTTGAACAAGTATTTTCTTCATTAGTTTTGACATTAATACAACAAGCTGGGAGGAATTAGCAGCAGTTGTGTTGTGTTATTGTGCTTGTATAAGCAGGACAGCAGCCCACATTTGGTGACAACTGCTTTATTAGGATCAACAAGGCTGTCTGCTCCTGTGGGATGTAACTGACTGGATTGATTTCAGTGACATTTTAAGAGGTCTCATGTGGAAAATGTTTTATGACATGGAAGATATTTGACAGCATTGTTCTTTGGCTACATTTTCTCATCCAGGTGATTTAGTGGACCAAAGATGAGTGCTGGAAGTATTCCCCTGTTCCACTAATTGTAAAATCAGTCAAGGTTCGGGTGTAATTGCGACTAGTTTGACAAGATCCGTTCTACCCCAGGGATACATGCACATGGTTACAGTGTTCATATTTTTTCACGTCTTCATGTTGGGACATTGGCTACATAATTGAATAAATGCTGAGTCAGCACACACAGTATTGTTTCCTTTTGTATTTTTCTACATGCTTTTTTTGGCAAATGAAAGTAAAGAGACAACGGCTGAACTCTGGAACTTTAATTACAAAGGTCCCCTCATGCCAGATGCCATTTAGCTCCTCCAGTCTCATTCTTATGCAACCGTTTCTTTTTATCCTATGGCGTCACATCAGCAATAGAACAGAACAAACATGCATTCACCATGTAAACTTCAGAAAACAACTTATTGTATTCTTGGTGCTTTGTAACTGATCCTGTAGCAAAACATTCAACTCATTCTGCTACTGATGCTAAGTTAAATCTGCAGTTGAGTTATTTTTGCCACTACTGTCAAAGGAATGTGTATTATTTGCACTCACCATGCTCCATAATTTCACTGCTCTTTTATTGTTATGTAATAATCCGTCTTCATGTGACCGGTCAGTAAAGGGACAGCAAGAGATAATTCTATTATCCTCAAGGAGACTGATATGATTACAGTGATGTCTTTCTTTGAGAGCCCTTAGATCCCAGATTTATCCCTGCTTCTGACTGTAGCTGGTTCTGATAAATCTGGACAGGGCGGGTAGGGGCTGGAGGCTGGAAATTTCTACAAAACTTTTTTTTTTTTTTTCAGTTCAGGAAGTCAGAACAGGTCAGA